TATCAGTTTTTTTATTTTTAAAAATATTTTTTCTATTTTTTCAATATTCAAATTTTCTAAATGTTTTCAAAATTTTCAAAAATGTTCAAAAAAAAATTCAAATTCTCAAAATAAATCTAATTTTTTTCTTATCTTTTAAAAATTCTAAGTGACGGGAACGGGAAGTTCTAGCAATTTGTCTTGCACGATACCATGCATATATTTTGATTACTGATATATTTTTTAGAAAATATATACGATATATTATTAATTAAAATCCAATATGAAAAAAATCGTATTAATGTTAATTTTTGTCTTTTATAACAATATTGTGTCAGCAGTTTTTATGAACTTTATTATGAATCTCATGTCAGACAAAAATAAAATAATAATTATAAACATTGCAATATTAAAATACAAAGCAAAGGATATGAATTAATGCAAAATTGAGCTCCGTGCAAAACATAAAATATAAAAATAAATAAAAATCTACAGAATGTTTATATCAAAGTGTCTACTTATAATGATGTCTTATCAAAAGCTGCTTCCTTAAAACTGATGTTTAATTATTATCTAGCAGCTTCAGTTTTAAATATTTCTTATAAGTATCAACTTACATCAACATCTTATAAGATGCTAAGTGGTCCATTTAGAACATTGCTTTAAATTTTTAACATGAAAAATATTCTCATAAATTAATGCCATTTACAACAATTTTGTAAACAATTTGGCACATACAATATTATTTATATTCATATACCTATCATATTTAATTTATTGTTATTTGAATGTACATATATCCGTGCATGATTTAAAATTCGTTGATGAATTGTTATTTTTAAACTTGTGCCATATATTTCATATTTTTACTAATATTAAAATTAGTGTAAATAATTGTATTTTTTCTATGAATGCAACAAGTTCAATTTCAATATAATTTTGGACTTATTGACAAATCCAGTATATATTGAAATATTTTTTATATCAAATTCTTAGAAAATGGGAGGCCACACGTTATAACATAAATAGTTAAAAATATTTTACTATTGTAAAATTGTAAAAACTTATGCAAGGGATGAATGAATTTAACACCCTTATTCTATAAAAAAAAAAATGTTAGAGAATGATTTGATTAACACGTTCGCGGACGTGAAGGCTCTAGCATTCATTTTCATTATATGCAGAATGACATGAATGCTAAGCTATAGCATTCAGATTTTAAAATCAAATATTTTGAATTTAATTTTATATAACCTTACGTTTTTGTAATTATTATACCTGGCAAGGTAATGACTACCTAATTCTTTTGGTATTTTCGTATTATGTTATTATTTACCTAGTCATAAATTAGTTTGGGCAAGAACATTGCGTAAAATAGAAGAGTGATACTTAACTGAAGAGGGATGCTATAGCATTCATTGTATATAACAATTGAAATATGATTATCTGACTACTCTTATAAACGGTGTTTAATCAAATTTCGGATATCAACCAATTTAAAAATAAAATTACTGTGAAATATTGTACCTTGCAGAAACATCTACTGTCCGCGAACGTGTTAATTCAGAAAGTTTTAATTAACTCAAGATATAGTATTAAAAATAAATTAATTATTAAGGATTTTTTTCCTCAATTTGTTCAAAGAAGACTTTAATCAAGGATGAAAATTAAAGAAGTATTCGCACTTTTTCATAATTTATAAATAAAAAGTACGCCAAAAAGGTATTCAAATAGAACATGTAAATAGTTTGAGATACATGAATATTTTAACATAAATCTGTATTTAAATATTCAATTTTCCTATTTCATTTCCACCGTCTGTTTAAGAAGCCCGCTTCCAACATCAAAATATATATATATATATATATATATATATATATATATATAGTGACAATAAATAAACTATTTAATTTTTTTATAACATTAAATTACAATAATAGTAAATACTCGTGTCATTCATTAATATCAATATGTAATAAGATAATAATAATATGAATTTTCATTTCTGATATTGGCAATAATTGATTCTGCTGATCTTGAATGTCTGAAATCTGGAAAGTTTTATTATGATATTAGTGATTAAAAGTGATCAAAACAATTTTATTTATAAACACTCCATAGATAAATTTGGGAACAAGAATAAAAGGAATTTCAAATACGCCCGAAATGAAATAAATTGACAAATAATTTTTTTATATTGTGCTAATTTGATACAAGAAAGTCAAATTTAGTTGCAGAAAAACCACCAAATTTAGAAACAAAATTACTTAAACTCTACTTCTCACATTTAATTTTATATTATCTGTTCTAATGCAAGAACCTATAAGAAATATTGTCTACAAAATATTTTAGAACTTTAGCACCAACATATTAAAATCCATCTTCTGTATCATTCAAAATTAGTAGATATTTAAATATATAATTTTCAAATAATATGCTGAACAAATTAGCATTAATTCAAAAATATTTTTTTTAGTAACAACGTCTTCTTAATTATTTGTCACAGTAAAATTAAACTTAACTTTACAAAGGTTTTTGATTTAAAAGTACAAGAAATCAGGATAAAACAAGTACCAGAAATAAATAAAAATTTTATCCATTTTGCATATATATATATATATATATATATATATACATATATATATACATATTAGGGTGGTACTTAATATGGACATTTTCGAATTTCTTTGCTCCTAAGGGGCTCAAATGGTTCCAAATTGATGAAAAACAATTCTCTGAAAGTTTTAGCTTTTAATATTAACTTTCAGATAGTGCGCAGTTCAATCAAACTTCGTATGGAAATAGCATGGAATTTTTTTGAAAAATTGAAGAAATTTTTTTTGAGGTATAACTTGCAAGCGACAAATGAATTAAAAGTGAAAATTCGTTTCATTTTTTATTGAAAATTCGACGCTCTGCAAAACAGGTTTTTTATAATTAGCTTTGTAAAGCGTCGAATTTTGAGTAAAACTCGTTTATTTGTTCGCTAAATTATATTTAAAAAACATTTTTAAAGCTTTTGAAAAATTTTTCCATGCTATTTCCATACAAAACTTTGATTGAATTGCGCACTATCTAAAAAACAATATTAAGAGCTAAAAGTCTCAGAGAATTGAGAATCTGGAACATTTTGAGCCTTTGGGAGCAAAGAAATTCGAAAATGCCCATATTAAGGACCACCCTAATATATATATATATATATATACATATATATATATATATGTGTGTGTGTGTATTATATATTAAATTTGATCTTTGACTGCATTTAAGTTATATTTATATGTAAATAAAATTCATATATATTTGAATACTAGTACCTACTATTTCATTTTTCGTTGTGAATATTTCGAAGTTTATGTAGAATTTTGTTACATATTTCTCTGAGGAATGCGAAATTATTTCGAAACTATTTGATCTTTTATAACGCTTCTGTATAGTTCAAATAAAACTTTTTGTAGCAAAGTCTGAAGTTCGAGTATTAAATTACTCTCTATATTCAACATAAAAGAAGCAAAATTTAATTTATAATCAAATTATATAATTTAAATTTGAAAATAGTTGTTTATTATCAGATAATGATTTTATTAATAAAGATCAAAAATAAGTTAAAAATTAATTGATATAAAGACAAAATAAATCTACAACTTCTGCAATAAAGTCTGAAGTTCAAGTATTATATTATTCACAATATTAAACATAAAATAGGTAAAATTAAATTTATAAACGAATTATTTAAATTTGAAGAAAGTTCTCGAACGTTAGGTATATGTTTTTATAAAAATCAAAAATAAGTGAAATATCAATTGATATCAATTTAAGGATATTTTTTTATATGAGTTTGAGATGAAAGCTATAACGACACAAACCAAATTCATTTTGTTGGCATTATAAACAATATAGAAAAACTATTATACAAAAGGGTATGAGCGTGTTTCCATACAGAATTGGCCCCACCCTGGTATTTAAATGACCTTGATTTATAGGTATTCTCGAGGAAACCGGATATACCAAATTTCAAATTCGTAGCTCATCATTTAGCCGAGATATCATTAAAAATATGTAAAAGTGGCCCCTTTTTTCAAAGTCGTTTTATTTCGCAACTGTAAAAGATATCTACAAACAAATAACGTTATCCTTTTCACAACATAAAATGAGTAAAATCCATTTCATAAACAAATTTCTATTTTTTAAATTTAGAAAAGATCTTTTAACGTTAGATAATATGTTTTTATAACAATCGAAAATAAGTTAAAAATCAATTGATATCAATTTTAGATATTTTCTATATATAAGTTTGAGATAAAAGCTATAACGACGCAAACCAAATCCATTTGTTAAGGTATTATAGAAAATATAAAAAAACTATTCTACTATATTTATTTAATTTTACTCACAATATTTAACCTAAAAGAGATGAAAGCCATTTTATAAACTCTTATTTAAATTTGAAGAAGATTGTTTACCGTTAGATTTTATGTATTTATAACAATCGAAAATAAGTTAAAAATAATTGATATAACTATAAATTAATTAGGATATGAGTTTAAGATAACAGCTATAATGACGCAAACCAATTTTATTTAAGGTATCATAGAAAATGTAGAAAAGGTATTATACTATAAGAATTATAAAAAAAAGATGTAATAAAAATTTGAAATAAATTAACAGCATAGAATTATACAAATGAAATTGAATTAAACATATTGAAATTTTCTATGCAATGTTATTGAGACATACAACAAATTTAAATTTATTCAAAAAAATATTGACATTCAAAAAAATTTAACTTTATTTTAAAAAAATATTGTCTTAAAATGACAAAAAATATAAAGCTTTCTGAGCCTTCATATTACATTCGTCCACTAAATGTGACTCCCGGCTGTGTGTGGAATCCTGCGGCCGTCAAGTATACTTGTCGGCTTGTATATTTTTTGATACGTTTCGACACTTCTTTTGTGTCATATAAAAAAATTACAAAAAAAAAAAAATGCAAAATATCAATTACCTCAATCCATTATCTTTTAAAAGAGTCCGAAACAATCTCCAAAATCCATAGCATAATCGAAATCCTCGGCTCCAGTGGCGGCCGACAGAGCAGTGTCCCCCACCGATGTGGTCACCGTGTGGCAAACGGTGTCCGTAACATCAGGTGCGTCAGCTTGGAATAGAGCGGCAGGAGAATAGTCGATCGCTCCCGAAGCGGCGACTCCGCTTATCGCCGAAATGTTGGAGCAGTGCGCAGCGGGCACGGCGTGCAGAGTGAAAGCCCCGTCGTACTGGGACCATGACAGACCTGGTAAAATAGAAAAATGTTCGAATTTATTCTTGACAAATGAATGCAAGATTTTTTTTTATTAATTTATATTAATATTGCTCAATTAAGTAATATATACCGACACTGAAATGCCTCAGAACTCAACGTTAAGACAAAACGGAATGATAGTATTGATCATAACTGTTATGAGAAAAATTAGAAAACAAATTTTTACCCACTTTGAAAATTACGAGCTTTTAAGTGCAAACATAGCTCTAGTAAAATGTGTCATTTTTTGAACATTGTGGTTATTTTTTTATTAATTTCTATTTAAGTTGTATCCGTAATTGTAAATAATATTTCTCAGACCATAGTCAAGAATAATAGTATAATTGATTCATGATTTGAAGAATTAAGACTTTTTGTCAAACTATGAATCTAACTTTTTCAAAATATGTTAACTTTGAGATCTAAAAAATTGACTTATCTTCTCTAAAAAATTGACACTTGCAACAAAATGCCATTGCCATTAATTCGTCATTATGCCTTGAGGCAAATTGCTGGAATTTTCCGTAATTTTAAATATTTAAAAGCGCTTACATTATGTGAAAACTCTGAAAAAATTAGATTCTTAAGAATTTTGAAAAAATTTAACTATTTTAAAAAAATGGATTTTATTACTTTTTTATTTTTTTTGAAAATATTGATTTTTTTCATTGCAATTACTCTGCGTAGCAGTTTTAGAAGCAAATTATCAAAGCGCGTAAGCGCTGCGTTTCAAATACCGCCTGACAAGCTTAATTCGTTCCGAGACCACGCTCGATAATCGAATCTCTCGTATTTCGAAGCAATTTTGAACTTCCCGTAGGGAAAGTTATAGTGATCGCAAAAAAATCGAAAATAAAAATTTTTATATATATCTTTACGTTTCAGAGGTTTCTGAATATTTTGGCAAACCTTAAAAAATGGATGTATGTGTGTGTTCGGATATAAATTTTCGTCGACGATTTCTGGAACACGGATGAAGCGATTTGAATAATTCAAAAAACATTCGATTCGTTATGATAAGGAGACGTGCTGATTAGTTTTTGGCGAAGGCCGTTCCGAACATATGAAGCAAAAAGTACCAAAAACTTTAAGTCAGTTTTTAAGAGAACGGAGCGTCCGATTTGAATAATTCGGAAAAAATTTCACTTGTATTAACAAGATGAAGAACTGACCAAATTTTTATGAAGGCAGGTTTAGCGGTTTCGCAGATCTAGTAAAAATAGTAAAAAAAATGCCATCTGGGGGTCAAAAATGATCATTAGACATAAAATTATCAGATATTTTATAGAGATTTTAGCAATAAGTATAAATTTTGTTTACATTCCTATGGGTTCCGTACCAATGCTTATTCGTTAGACAGCGGCGCGGCGCTTATGCGCTTCGATATTTCGTCTCTATGCAGTTTAAGCAGTACGATTGCTTTGAAAAAAAGTTCAAAATTCCAAAATATTTCAAAATAAATCATTCTTCAAAAGGTTTTTTTTTTCAAAAAAGTAAATTTTTGTCAAAAATTTATAGTTTCTCAAAAATCTATTTTTTTCAGAGTACGGGAAGTTCTACCAATTTGCCTGAAGGCACGATGCCATGCGCCCGACTAGTTTCCATATAAATGCCATTAATTAGTTCTAGCACAGTAATAAAAATAAATGAAACATTTATTGCAAAGATCATAGATTATTAAATTCATTTTTTTGCAAAAATATAGCAATTTACTAAATAAACAATTAAATTATTATTATACTAGCGGCACCGCTCCTTTGGCGGCTCGTATCACAAATTTTGCTCACTCAGCAAACAAACTGCGCCTTCAGCAGCTCGTATCTCAAAAATCTCTATAATAAATCTTGGTACAGAACCCATAGAAATGAAAAGCATAATTTGCACTTATAACAAATTCTCTATAAAATATGATGCGATTAACTGATAATTTTTGGCAGATAAATTTACATTTTTTTACATTTTTTTATTGGATCTCAAAAAAAGCTGGACCTGCTTCTCTAAAAACTTAATCAGTTCTACATTTTGTCCATTATTCAAATCGGACAATTCATTCTTTCAAAAACTGATTGACCATTTTTGGCAATTCTTGCCCCGTATCTTCGAAATCGCTAGACTTGCCTTTTGCAAACATCTCCCCATCAATAGAAATTGAATGTTTTTTGATTATTCAAATAGGTTGATCCATATAATTTATTGTACGGGAAGTAAATAATATAGTTATTATTAACTAAATATTCACAATTTACTTAAGACATAGCGCAAATAGGCTCAATTATCACAACTTTGACTAAACAAATAACTAAATTATTTTGAACAGTTTTCAAAATGTATTCTATATTTTGTAAATAGCAATTGAATCTGCATTGATTCTAATTAAATTCGAAAATTATTACATATTTTATTCAACTTATTTATAACATTCGGCATTGAAATGAATAAAACAGAATATAAATGAACTCTTCAAATGAACTTTATTGATAAAACTTATGCCAATACTGCTAATGAAAGATCCAATAATCAACTATATTAATGCAGCTACTTTCAATTCCGTTTCTTATTGTTTGCAGAGAAAGAGAGCAATCAAAAAGAGAAAATCAATAGAACGACATTGAAAATTTTATGAGTTTTCAACTTTAAAATTCAGTCAATATTTTATCTTCTCTGTAGAAATAAAGCAAAAAATATTGATTGATGGAACTACTGGCGCATCTATTTCAAGTTGTGATCTTTATGGAACTGCTGAGATGGGGCTTACAAAGAGATGAGATAAAGTTAAGCGAATAATATGCTTCTCTCAGTATCGCAAGGCATAAAAATGCATGTTTTCATAAAGGTGCCCTATTATATGCCGGAGCACTTTTCATAAATCCATGTTATTCATGAACATAAAACGGGCACATAAAGTCACATACACTCGAACAATGTTATATCTGAGCATTATTATTTGTAGAAGATTCTTCATCGCGTAGGGTGTAGTTTGCATTTTCCATATAATTTGACTACAGTGTATCATGTGTTTATAATAATCTTAGTTTGATATAATTTTAATTTATAAGTGATGTTATTTGTCTAACAGCCTACTTATTTATCTGTCCAAGTATCTACCCATTTAAGTGTCTACCTGTATATATAAGTTTCAACTTGCTTATTTTTTCCACCTCTCTTAAGCTAGCAAGACCAAATTAGCAAATCGATCCAAACCTGTTGTATTATTTAGTACCTATTTTGTACTAATTTGTACCGAGAGGTCTTTTACACTTGTCCACCAGTCTACATGTCTAGACGACATGCCTACTTGTTTATTTTTCTATATTTTTACCTGTCTATCTGTATATTTATCAACTTGTATACATGTCTACCTGTCTATCTTTCTACTTGTCCCCCAGTTCGCCTGTAAACCTGTCTACTTGTCTACCTATATCCATGTTCTGAATTATCAGAATCGGATATATTTTAATCATTCACATCAGTTAATCCGTGTTCTCGAGTTAATCACGAACATATTTTTTTAACGTTTTTCCCCAAATCTCCAAAACCGTTAGATCCGCCTTAGCAAAAAAGTAATCAATTTTTTACTCTGTCAATACAAATCAAACGTCTTTTGAATGAATCGCACTCTGTGTTGTCGCAAAATAGGATTTTTTATTTTTTTAACTTTTGCGCTGTATCTCCAAAACGGCTTGACCTGCCTTCGCCATTTTAATCATTCACATCAGTTAATTCGTGCTCTCAAAATCGTGGTCAAAAATTGTATCCATACATATATACACACATACATCATTTTTTTCTAAGGTATGCTAAAATGTTCAGAAACCTCTGAAACTTACTCTTACATTATCAGTCAAAAATGGCTCGGCTAATATTATCATAACCAATAAAATATTTTAAAACCGTTCAGGAAGTTGTAATTTTTTAACGGTTAACTATAAAAAAATAACATATAATCCATTTTATAGATTTCATATTTTCTAAAAGAATGATGAAACTTTGATGTCTAGAAAAATTTGAGTAAATGTGGAAAAAAGTTGAAATAGGAAATACAGACCCAACACCTTAATTTTAATTTTAAAGGAATTTTACAATATAATATTATTTACTATATTATTTAACCTTTTTATGTACAATTTTTCATTAAGTATGTTCCTTTTCCATTGTAAAGATTTAGTTCGTCCTTTTTACCCCAACCGTATAGATTTTTTGAAAAGAACAGTTTTCATATAAATTATTTAAAACAAATACATAATATAGAATAATCAAATAACAATTACTTAAAAATTATATCCAGGTATTACAAAGAAAATAACAGAGCTCAAAACCAAAAAAAAACTACAAAGGAATGCAAATACTTTTGTTGAAAATATTGATATATGACCGTTTATCCTGTAATAAAGATGTCGCCCTATTAAAGGCGACATTTCTTATTCCCTTCACTTTAGAATAATATGTTTAAAAAATTCTACATTCTACTTGTTTTGGAGATGATTCTACATGTTTTAGATATGATGGTAGTGGACCATTTACCAGGGTGTAATGAGGTAGTCATTACAAATATGCAGTTACAGTTATATTTTTAAATATTTAATTAGCGATCATATAAATAATGTAACCAAAAATTGATCATCACTACTCACCTCCACTCCAAACACCATTAGGCAGAGTAACCCATCCCCAACCTCTGCCCCAAGGTAGTTGATGACCTAAAGAACCCCCTCCTGGACGCAGCACTGCAACTGCTGCATCGTGAGAAGTCGCATTGGCTCTACTGCGTTGACGTTGCTGATCAGCTGCTTCTTGCTCCAGTTCGATAGAGGATGATGCTATAGGAGAATTATTTTATCCATTTATTTAGTGGGATCGCACAATACAGAAGTTACAAAGAATTATTTCAGTAATGCACAATGATGATGTAGATCATCTCCTAAAAGCTAAAATGTATTTCACAAGTGCTAAATACTAAGAGTAACAGAAAAAATGATTTGGTGTTTAATTTTTTGATGTCATTCATTTAATTTGATGATATTATTATCAGTCTCAATTGTTTTCACTCGTCTTAGATGTATTGACCACTAGTAACATAGTATTTTAATTAAGCAGAAAGTTCCTACCAGAAACTACATTAACGTATTATTAAGGCAGCGGTTTCCAACATGTGGGACGCGCCCCCTGACTGTTACAAAGGGACGCGTACGGCTCTTTCCAAAATACAATTTACGAAAATAAACTAAAAATTTTGAAGTAATATAAAAAATAAACTAAAAAATAATATTCTTTTTATGAAATTTTTAACATAATCTTGCATATTAATTTGTAGTCTGATATTATCAGTTGTGTATTTATAAAATTAAATTGTTGAAAATTGTTGAGCAGGGTGGGGGGCGGTGCGAAAAAGGTTGGAAACCACGGTATTAAGGATAAAAATAACTAATTAGAGAAACCAATTTGGCCATATAGTTAGGATGGAATGAGATATAAGAGTCTTGAGTAATGAGATGCTAATTTTTAAGAAGACAGTTCACAAATAAATCGTTTGATCATCTTTGTAACATCTACACATGAAACATGAGCTTAATAGGATTGAATCCTAAATCGTGAACTTCGCCGAGTTCCGAACAATAAAAAAGTCCTTGCACTAAATACAAGTATTATTCTCTACTAGTGGATCCTTTTGTCTGGTTTTAAAAGTAAGTAGAGTAGAAATTAGCCAATGACCTTTAACAGGTTTCAATTTTCTTCATTATGACATTCAATGAAGTATCCTGTAGTATTTATGAAATAGTACTAATAGACTATATTCATTGTATTAAAATGTGATTTTTTTTTCAAAAGTGAACAAGAAAGAATGAATAATCAAAATTGCATGAGACCCTTGATAATTGCAATAAAATTAATCGATATCATCAATTGGTCGATATCAATGGCATAAGTCCCTTTATTTTAAAAGAAATTACAAATAATAAATAAAAATCCAGAAAACATTACAAAACCACTTTCAAAATAAATTTTTGAAGGCTAGATACACGTTTGAACTGATTACTGCGACAGTTCTGTGACAATAACGCTCAACATCTGACAGAATTGCGATTATTTGTGATTTTGAAAACGTTACTAATTTTTAAATAAGACGACTTTTATCCGTATTTCTCCTATTCTATTTACTAAAATTAAACTATGAAGTGGTGCTAAATTTGACAATAAGTAAACTTGAGAATTGATATGATAATGCACAGTTTTTCATACCAAAATCTTTCCACAATCAAGTTGGAAGCACTTAAACCTGCCTATTTAAAGATCTAATAATAAATTTGAAAAGAAAAAATCAAATATTATTTACGAGGAAAAAATGGAAATGGACTCTACTGACAAGCAAATTAAAAGTAAAAGCAAAAGGGACTCTACTGACTCTACTGACTAGAAAACTAAAAATCAAATAAAAAGGGATTCTACTGACAGTCCAACATAAAATGAAGGGAAAATGAACTCGAGTGACAAATAAATTATATATGAAAGAAAAGGGACTCTACTAATGACCAAACTAAAAAGAAAAGAAAACTAAAATGAATGCGATATATTAAAAAATTTAGTGATTACATATAATAACAATAACATATAATCGTCAACTTTGCATATTTTTTCTATAAAGCTATAAAATATCAACTTACGTCTGATCCTGACAACCGGTCTCCTTTGCGCTCCAACCGCGTGTGGTTTGTCCAGGATAAGTTCTATCCTCGGAGGCGGCGGCAACTGCAATAGTTTCAAGTAATACAAATAACAAGTTAAATTGCGACAACTATGAACTAACTTAATCCACCAAAACTTAAGCTATTAATATTCCTGTCAAGTCACAAAGTTCAAGATGCATAAAATAATAAGAATTATAAAGTTTCATGACTCTAAGACATATTACAAAAACCTAGGTGATCATGGAGATTAATGTAAGAAAGCATTATTTTTTATGTTTGTTTTAATTTAGGATTGTATTTCTGGATTTTTTTTTAATTTAAGAAGTTAGAATAATTCAAATTATATAAAAAGTTTAAAACATGAATATCTTGAAACTTGTTATTGGAGGTTCTTCAAAAATTATGGACAATATTGTAATTATCATTTATTGGAACAGATCCATTTTTTTCTGGGTTTCTTTCTATTATTGTCAATAGACATTGAGTAAAATATAGAGCGAGTATATGCCAAATAATATAATTCAATCCTACAAATTGAGTGGATGAGTCTTAGATTTATATATAACTTTCATATATATTTTTTTAGTTCTGGTACGGCTAAAATTTCTTCTAAAGAAAACCTGGAGACTATGTGGAGTGTCAAAACAGTTGCTCGATCGATGTTCTTCTAAAACAGTGTTTACCAAAGTGATTCCTATAAACCCTCGGGGTCCAGGACAACTTTCAGTTGGTTCACTTCAGCAAAAATAAAATTTGGGGTACACAGTAATGGATCACAACACACCATAATAATAAATATTTACTTACGTTATACGATATTATAATATATAGAGACTTATAACAGACGTTATAATATAGTAATATATATATACATATATAAGAACAAAATATACGTAATATGTAATGTGAATGAATACAATATTTTGTCCACGATTTCGGGCGCACGGATCAAAATTCAAATGATTTGAATGATTCAAAAAACATTAATTTATAGATTAATTTAATTATATTACAAACAAATTACAAATATTGCTTATAGTTCCTAGTTAACTTATTGTAATTGACTAAATGCTTCTAACAATAGAGATGCTTAATGGAGTAAATACATGTTTGAAGCAAAAACTATACGGAAAAACTATTACGGTCCTATACGGAAATACGGAGCAAAAAGTGCAAAAATTAGGAATTCAGTTTTTGCGAGAACCGGATATCCGATTAGATTGATTCATTCGATTCGTGTTAACGGCGAGTTGTACTTGTTAGTTTTTTGGTAACTCGTTTGGAAAATACAAAGCAAAAAGTGCTAAAAAATGCAGTTTTTAAGAAAAAGGAGCATCCGATTCGAATGATTCAAAAACATATTGCTTTTTGTGTTGACAAAATAATTTGATAATAATTATAGCTATTCTAATTCTAAAACTCACTAACTACTCGAAATGAAGAAATTAGCTCTGAAATTTTTAGAAATATAGAATAAGGTCTTTCATTTATGCAGAAAATTATAAGCTCTTATATTTAGTCTACAATAAGAGTTCCAGTATTTATAATAATCTATTTAAAACGTATATACATATTTTACAGAAAATTAATAAAAGTTGCATTATTTATAATAATCTATTTGGAAACATTTAAAATTCCTAGAATATCTCATGACGGTACGAAAAGATTTAGCAATTTGCATTTAGGCACGACACCATGCACTACTCAATTTTGGTAGTATCATTATTCTAAATTTCCAGACCAAAAAACAAATTTGAAAATGTTTGATAAAAATACCGGTGATGATGAAAACTATCGGCAAAGCTTCCAAACAGTAATGTTTAAAATTTTACAAAGAGAACTTTAATTTATAAAGGTCTGATAATGATTAAATCGTGTTTCTGTCCAGGGCATAAAGTGGCACGTGGTTTTCTGCTTGAACAAACCTTCAATATAACTAATTAAACATGTACATATACGGTATTGTTGCGAAGTTTAAACTCGGCGAGATACTCATTTTCAACAATAGGAATTATATCACGCCGTAACAAACACGTATACTTTGCTATTTGTATGAAAAGCTCAGGATTAAATTGTCAATCTATTTAATTTAATAATTGCGTAATTAATAACTGTGAATAGTGATATAAACGCAATTTATTATAAGCTTTGTAAATTAATTGGCTTATGCAACGTGCTCATTATAATTAATTTGTTAATTGTTTATTGGAGATGTATCAAAATAATTGCTCGTAGAGTTATAGAATAATATAACGTTATAGAATATAAAAAAAATATTTTTCGAGAAGATTTTTTTTAACTTCTCTAAGGATATAAACATATCCTTAGAGAAGTTAAAAAAAATCAAAGTTTTCGTCAAAAAAGTCTATATGCTGATTTTATGTTTTCTCGATGTTTCAAGCCATTCTGAGCCGAATGACACCATATTTGGAAAAAGTATATGTGTGTGGGTGTGAATCTGTGTGTGAACAGATTTTTGACCTTTCGTCGACGTTTTCTCAAAAACAAAAACAAATTTGATAGTCGTTCGATGTAACTCGATAAGGATTAGCATTTGTCAGTTTTGCGCGACGATCAGCCGAGCCGTTTTTATAAGACTATGGTATGTACCGTCAAAAAAAAGCCATAAAAATCGTCGAAAAAAAAGTTTACAAATATCTGTTCACATACACACACATACTTTTTCCAAATTTGGTCTCACTCGATTTAGAATGGCTTGAAACATCGAGAAAACATAAAATTAGCGAATCGGATTTTTTGATGAAAACAAACTTCTCCTTGGGGAAATCAAGAAGACAAAAGATATAAGTTCAATAAGAAAAAATGACACAAGAACTAGAAGTCAATGAAGAAGTTAATAAGTAAGCCAAATAGATTATTATATAAGCCGAAGTAATTAGATATCGATTTAGAATGACAGTAGTTTTTGAGTTGGGCTTGGCAAATTAATCTGTAATACTACAAAATCTTGTAACCAGTTGTATGAAATCAACAGTAAATTTATTAATTAATGTTATCAAGCAAAAAATATGATCATGAGCTGGATCAGAAATTATTAGCTGCAAAATAAAAAAAAATTAGGTGCTTGCTTTAACAAATTTGAATAATATTGCAACTGAATGAACTGAATTGAATAATATTATAATTAAATAATATTGCAACTGCATGCATATTCAAACATGTTTGAACATAAACTTTTAAAAATTTGTACGAAAAAAATAAATGATTCAATAACGACATTTGAAAAATCTTTAGAATTGATTAAGATGTTTAAAACAATTGAAGGTTAGGTTGAAACAAACTGGCACATTACATTGTAGCATAAATTTTACTTTATATTTTATATTTTTTGTCAGTTTTCCATCTAAGCTCCTTGGGTCGTGTCTAACTTTATTTCTCGCCCAACAAACTGCTTCATATGCAATATGGGTATAATCGTTTTTGTTTTAAAAAAGTGGAAAATAGCTTTTTACCCTTTTCATCTTCACAATTTATTCCTTCAACTTTATTGCAAAACTCTCGAAACAGTTTTTGACGATCTTTTATATAGTATGCAGTAAAATGCAAATGCAATGGAAATTTCATTTTTAGTTTGAGTTTTAAAATGCATCGCAGAATAATTTTTTGATTTTCCCGTAGATGATAATTAACTTAAATTAAATGGTTGATTTTTGAGAGAATTTATAACTAGTATTATCTATACAGTGATTGTGAAATTTAAATTAAATAAATTTGATATGTCTGCATTTTCATTCATAGTTTTTATATAAACTTGCCGGGTTAAAATTTTCGAAAGGAGTTATTTTCCTCGTAAACAAAGACTTCAAACTAACAAATTTTCCTAGAATTCCTATGATTCTGATAAAATCTATAGAGATGCAGGAAATACTGTTTGACAATTAATTTTAATTAAAATTGAATAAAGCATTAGCATTTACTGCACTTCAAAAATATTTTCTGGTTTCAATTTTCTCATTGATGTTGCTAAGTTATGAATTTAATAAAAAATTAAGAGTAGTTATTTAAGAAATCACTTACCGTTTTCGCAATAGCTTCTATCCATTCGCTGCATGTTTCAGAAATAAATTATTAGACAATGTTTACATACATAGTATATATATACTAGCTGAACCGGCAAAAGTTCTGCCATAAAAAGTATTTCTAGTATAAAATGTGTAGGTGGAAGGTACAGCTTATAATAATATGTGAATGGTTTACCTACTGCAAAGCACGCCACATATAAATGTTTTGAGCCATTTTAATAGTCTTTGACTTGGCACATTTGAAGTTTCGAAATATTGATATATTATTACCGCAATTTTCATTAATTTATTAATTTTTGAATTAGAAAGCCACATATTGTTATGTGGCATGCCCAGCCAATTGACCGAGTTTGCAAAAAATTGATTGAGTGGAAAATTATACAGCTTTGCCATAGCTTTGTATGATACCTAGGTTTCCTATCAAAAACTGTTGTATCTTCAGATTTTATTATTTAATCTCCCTATTTTTTGCAAAAATTACTCTTTATTCTAACTATTTAGAAACTATGTACTGGTTGTGTGCATCGGGAAATATTTGTACAGTGGAAAAATGGGAGGGATGGACAACCTATGTAAAAAGAGTTGCAAGTATTTATCAATTCCACATTAAAAAAATTAAATTAAAGAAAATTGATTCGAAAATTAAAAAAACATCAGGGTTGGACAACCCTTAATAAAAATAAATTATTTTTTAAAGTAAGGTTTTATTTTTCTTTTAATTTAAAAAATCAGAACTAAAATCATGTCAAAAATATTCAATGACTGAACGCGGTATGTAAAATTATTGAATTACTAAAATACTACCAAAAAAAAAATTATCCAAAAATTAAAAACAATATTTTAGGATAAACCATCTTTATTATTTGGGGTTATAAAAATAGATAGTAATCGTTTCTCAGAATTACTGAATACGGATATAAAATTCTGTAAAAAATTCAATAAAAATCGACAAAACCATTTTGGAGGACTTTTTAGACATAAAAACATATTATGTATATTATTATTTATTTATGTGTATTATAAATACATTAATTATATTTCTATGAAACGAAAAAAACGTTAAGCATGTGTATATGGACTCAAAGATATCGCTTTTTCGAATTTTTTGATTTCAATAAGTTAATATAATTTTTAAATCATTGCATCGATACATGAAACATACTAAATAAAAAATTTATTTAGTATGCTTTACGTATCGATGCAATGATTTTTATATATAAGCATAAAATTTAATTTAATTCATAAAATATAAATGCTAATTTTTGTTTGTTTTCTATAAAAAAAATTCTTAAGTTTTATATCATCTCAGATAAAAGTTTTATAAGTAATGTTTTACAATAGAAAAATATTTCACTATAAAACTTTTTTAATAGAATTCAATGTTATATTGTTCGCTTTAATTTTCAACATGTACTTTATATTCATATTTTATTATTTTCTGTTAGTTGGAAATTTGCAGAATTATGGTTGTATCATAAAATGTTTTATGTAAGTTTTAATTGAAGCGGCAAACTTTTACGATGATCATGTACTGCAGTTAAAAAGATTAAATTATATATTGAATGAATATTTTAAGATCAATAACGTGGGCGAATCTTATATCAGAATTTGTGGTTAAAAATAACTATTCAAAACTTATTGTCAATTCGTTAGAAATTAGAATATTCAAAATTAAAATATTCTCATTGACTACGAATATCATTTGAACAAGTTGTAATTTGTATTACCTTCAGGTCTTAAATACACGATCGTTTATATCAATATAATGTTGGTAAAAAATATTGCATTTTTATAGCATTGCATTGCATTTTAATATTGCAAAAGTGAAGTAAATTTTTAACATTTAAAAATGATGCATTTTATGTAAATAATAAGTAAAATAACTGAAGTATTTTACCATATCATAATTATGAAAATATTAAGCAATAGCATTATTTAGGATAATATTATGATTAAACCTAATTAAGAAATATTAACTTATTGAAATACGCTTTTTGGAATTTAAACGACTTAAAAAAAAATAAAAAAATTAAATTGTATTTAGAATTTAACAAGTCTGCTGGTATTTTTTTTCTGAATCAAGTCTAGTTGTTCAAAATTTAAATTTACAATAAAAAATATGCGAAAATAACCATTTATTGGTAATTGAGCAATTTACATGGACACATCAAATTTCTAGATAAAATAATTTTAATTTTTCTGAATTAGAATGCTGAAGTAGTTTTTAAAACATAAAGAATCATAATAGGATAGATTCTTTCGATTTCTTTAAACAATTCGTCAAAAAATTAAAAAAGAATCTGATTAGTGTTAACAGTTCAGTTGGAAATCACAATTCACTACTGTATAAAAATAGAGCAAATCGTTTCATTTCAAGTATCATTTAAGAGTTTGAATTTAAGACTTGTAAAAATAATTGTACTTGGTAGAATGTAGCGGGGCTTGACGGTCCACGGGTAAAAACGTTCACCAACGTTGCCTTATAAACAAGTAAAATATAGAGATTTTCAACAATACTATTTTAAAGTAGTAGGCAGAAGACGTATAACCAGCCATTATCTCAATTCTTACTACGTTGCTTTCAGGAGGTGAATAGCTATGTACCAATATTTGAAACAAAAATAAATGAAAAACAAAAAGTATTTTGTTTTTATTCGTATTTTTTTTGGTTTTGAGCTCTTTTATTTAGTTGACAATACCTGACTATTATTTTTAAGTGCATATGTATATGTTAGTTAATTTAACAGCTTTTTTTATTGAACCTCTATTAAAGCTGACATGTGGGTGGGGTAAGAAAAATCTACTAAATCTTTACCCTGGTAAACGTGTAAAAAAATAAGAAAATAGTAAATGAAAACGTAAATTAAGTTCAAGAAATTAACAGCTATTCCAACTTTTCCATTACATATTTCTGACAAAATACCAGATTATAGGTTATATACAGTGGTGTTGTCGAGCCGGAACGCGCCGGAACGTCGTTTCGGCAAATCATTGTTGGGAAGGAACGCGTTCCGGCAAGAAAAAATATAAAACTAGCTGTAAGTGGAATTCTGTCTTAAGGCAATTAGGGCATCGTGCCTTAAGGCAAATTGCTGGAACTTCCCGTACCAAAAATTATTATTTTTTTTTAACATTTTTGAAAAAAAATTACTTTGAAAAAATAAGATTTTTGAGAAACTATAAATTGGACAAAAAATTAGTTTTTTTTGAAAAAAAATTTTTTTAAAAAAAATTTTTTTTTTAAATTTTTTTTTCTTTATTTTGACATATTGTGGAAGATCTGAACTTTTTTTCAAAGCAATCGTACTGATTTAACTACATAGGGACAAAATATAAAGCGCGTAAGCGCCGCGTCGCTGTCTAACGCATAAGCATTGGTACGGAACCCATAGGAATGTTAACAAAATGTATACTTATTGTTAAAATCTCTATAAAATATCTGATAATTTGATGTGCATATGTTTAATGATCATTTTTGACCGCCAAATGGCTCATTTTTTTACTTTTTCCTCTATATCTCCGAAACCGCTGGACCTACCTTCATGAAAGTTGTATCGATTCTTCATCTTGTCAATACAAATAAAATGTTTTTTGAATTATTAAAATCGGACGCTCCGTTCTCTTAAAAACTGAGTTACCGTTTTCGGAACTTTTTGCCCCGTATCTTCGGAACGGCTTGACCTGCCTTTGCCAAAAACTAATCAGCACGTCTCCTTATCAATACGGATCGAATGTTTTTTGAATTATTCAAATCGGTTGATCCGTGTTCCTGAAATCGTCGACGAAAATTTGTATCCGCACATACATACACACATACACACACACACACACACACACATACATACATCCATTTTTTCTAAGGTATGCGAAAATGTTCAGAAACCTCTGAAACGTGAAGATATATAAAAATTTTCATTTTCGATTTTTTTGCGATTACTATAACTTGCCCTACGGGAAGTTAAAAATCGCTAATGATTTAATAAGTAAATTTTATAAATTATTATTTTACTAATTTTTATTAAATGTTCTTATTATTGTAATAAACATACATATATGTGCACACAATGGGTTTTGTAATAATTTTTGTTTCTTTGAAATCGTTTGATCGCTTGTAAATTTTTACAATCCAACATTTATTGGTAATTTTCTATAATCATTGTTTTTGACATTTATTTATTGGTAAATTAGTTGACAATTTATAGCAAAAAAGTTACCCTACAATTTGAGATTTGTTTGCATATTCAAAGAAACTTTGATCTTTTAAAAATCTGATGAAGGTGCTGTGGAATTGATGATCACTCAATTATTGATTGACCTGGTAGTAGATTAAAAAATTGTACTTCTAGACTAGTAATTCTCAACGTGGGGCACACGCCCCACAGAAAAATCCATTTTTAAATTCAAAGGGGGGAAGCAAATTAAAAAATTAACCCACTTGCTTTGGGTGATTTGAATGTAATTTGTAAATACTGTTAAAAATTCGTTAAATATATTATGATCATTGTTTAGTTTAAGTGAGCACAGGATGCATGTGCAAATCATTTATTTTTTCCATATATATTTCCATAGCTTAGGTAAATAAGCATCCCTTTTTAGGTCTAATGCAAACTTTCTCAATATTACGTATTATAGAAAAATTCCAAATACTGTATGTATTAGTCTGTATATTTCTAAATTGCTATCCCTTCCAGACAGCGGTATAATAATTTTTATATTATATTTTTAAATTTAGAATTTTTAAAATTCAGTAAGTTGCGAGACTAAGAACATCTTAAGAAAATCAGCTCGCACAAGTTACTCAAACATTTAATAAAGTTTATAGTTCTATGTCTATTGTCGCACAGTGCACACAATCGTTTAAAAGTGCAGTAATTAATTTTCTATGAAGTGATAACGGCAAAGGCAGCAGTAAGATGTAATCGATGCCTCAACGGATATTTTGGATATTCTAGATATTTAATACCGAGATAAAAATTCTTATAGAAAAAATAATATTTTTAAATTAAATCTTATATATTCATTCGCATTTCTTATACGCTAACACCTACATCATAGGTTCCTATTCATGTATTTTTATAGCCTTACGTATGCCTATACGTTGCATTCTATACTACACGCCTTACATCTATACCATACGCTATATTTCATCATATACTCTCAAATCCCTACATTGTATACCGAATACACTTAACCTATATCTACTATATATTCTATTACCTATAATTTTCCTTACACGCTACATTAACCCTACTGAGAATCGAACCCGGGCCCGCCGCGTGACACGCGACAACCTTAACCACTAGACCACCGTAATGCTACAATCAACAGTCTTTTTTCGATGGTGTCGTCGGGCCACCTTAGTATTAATTACATAATTAATTAGAAAATGACCCGCGGAAACAACAGTGCGTCCCATATTATATTATTAATGGGGGTACCCGATAGGGTAGTGGCTAAGGTGCGCGACCGCCACGCGGAAGTCCCGGGTTCAATTCCCGGTATAGAAAATAGATAGGTAGATAGAGGGCGTAAGGTAAACCTATATAAAAGGTAAGTAAAATTAGACAGTAATATTTATAAGAAGTAAAAAGTATGTAGGTATATATTAAGTTAATAGTTATATAATAAGTTATAATAATGACGGTGTAGGTATCTCACGGTATGATTGATAATAGATATCTACCTATGATATACAATAATATAGTATAGTAAGGTAGGTAATAGGTTATCTATCGTATTATTAGGTTGAGTCTTATAAAGTATTGTAATATATCTTGAGTACATTTATATCATAATAAATACCTGTAAGTATTAATGAATACAAATAATACCACAATAAATATAATTAATGTTATTAAAGAATATAAATTATGTACTCAATGATTTCCTCATACTTGTACAGTTTAATTTATAGACTAGGTGTATATAATAGAGTTAATTATATAAGAAGTCAATATATTAGATTTGTGAGTTCTTATCGAAATATATCAAATTTTTTGAACCGGTTTATGAACCGGATTTTAAATTTTAGCGTTTCGGCAAAAAAAATATTAGCACAACACCACTGGTTATATACGGTGTGATATTTGTGACCAATGTGATTTTTTTTATTTTGTATTGGTTAAATAATTTCACTATTATTTCGGAGAAGCGATTTAAAATTAAAAATAATACATTCGATCTGTTTGCCGGTGGCAGCTTATGGATTAAAAAGGGACAGATGACTAATCGTAGAAAAATAACTAAAAACATATTTCTATAATTAGGAATTTACATTTACATTTTACTGAACATTGTTCGATTGTTGTTTGTTTGATACGTGTCATGTATTAAATTTATTTAGGCATTAATTGGACCTTTGCGCCCCTACTACTCCAGAAATTATTATTTAATCACGTCCAAATACTTGTTTTGTGAAAAAAAAAACTCAAAAATATCTCACATATTAAAACGTTTGATTATTTTCAACTAATTCTCCAAATTCAATATAAATCCATTTTACCTGACTTCTTTTTCCGACTTGGCAAGCATCCAGTATACTTTAGCACTGGCGGTCTTCTGGTCCTGCTGGGACGCCTTAGGCCAGGCGCCGAGAACCATCAGCTGTGTGACGTGACAGCCTCTTGGTAAAGGTGGCCTATGGGGCACCTGTTGCGTCCAATGGGCCACTGCGAACATTTCCGGAGCAGCCCCCACGAGACAATCGGCGCTCGGAGATTTACGCCCGGGATCCTGATAATGGATAATAGGAATAAAATTATTGAGACATTATAATTCAAATTGCATATTAATGAAAGATCGGCATTTAAAAAAAATTAATGATTGTTTTAGAGTCAATGGTTTTCAATTTAATTATTAAATGTGTTAATGAAAACACAACATGTTATGTTTTCGCAATAATAGCAAATTATAATAAAATACATAACACGTTATCAAATAAAAAAGTATCGAACTATATTCACTAAAATTTCCATCGAATCATAGATTTACGATTATTGATTTTTTTTTAATTTGTCATCTGTCCCATTTTGGCCCATAGGTGGTGTGAAGAGGGGCAGTCAGGGGTAAAACAGATCCAATTACCTATTTCTAATTTTGTAGACTTTTTCCAATAATAGCTACATCATTTAACCAATGCAAAATACAAATTTCATGGGTAATTTTTTTTACAAAGATCACACCGTATACAACCTCGATCTGGTATTTTGCCAGAAAAATTCATTAGCAGAGATGGAATAACTATCAATATAATTTATTATTTGTAAAGTGGCTCTTAAAACTTATTTTATTTATTTATTTATTTACTATTTTCTAATTGTTTACTCATTTGACAGGGTAAACGTTATATGCGGCCCTTTTGTCTACTTGTATGCTTTTATAGAGATTATATAAAACAACACTGTCGAATCTAATTCAAAAATAACAATTCATTTCATGAAACAATGAAAAATTACATTCAGGTGTCATAATCAAAATAAAAAAATACTACCAACAGAAAAGGCATAATGATACATGGCCGTTTACCTCCTGATACAGACGTCGTACACATATTTTACTTTCTACTTTGAAATAGTATATTTAAATAATTCCAAACCTGACTTGTTTTTGAGATAATGGTAGTGGACTCTATTTTACCTCGGATCTTTAAACCATCTATTGTAAATGTATAAAAATTCATCATATGATTTTTATAATAATTCACAAAGTACCTATTACTCATAAAAATTAAAGTTATTCTAACAAAATCAAACGTTGCACTAGCTTAAAAATAATTTTAATGGAAACTAGTAAACATCTTGCCATAATTTGCTCTAAATAACAAAAACAAAATGAAAATATAAAACTATCAAATATAAAAATATAAAAATCCATATTTGTATAAATATGACACTTTTGGTATGTAAATAAATTGTTTAATTTTGGCGTGTGTTATCATTACATAGAAATTAAGTCTAGTATACGAACATTTCTGATAATAAAAAACTATATCCAAATATAGCTGCAAAACTGTACAGAAAATTTTATAGTCTATATATAATGATTTCCTATAACTATGCATTATTTTAAATGAGCTTTATAAATATATTTTTAATTCATTATTAAACTATATTCAGATATAGCTGCAAAACTGTACAGAAAATTTTATAGTCTATATATAATGATTTCCTATAACTATGCATTATTTTAAATGAGCTTTATAAATATATTTTTAATTCATTATTTAAAAAAAATTAATTGAACGATTCTGGCGCACAGCAGAATAATGTTATGGCAAGGCTATGCTATAAAGAACTTGTCACACTAAATATTGACAAAAGCCATGTAGTTGCTATGCAGCCAAACGTTTTTCTCGGGTTGTCAGATGTCAAAGAACTATCTTAGTTGCACAAATGTCAAAAAACTATCTTCGATGATAGGTTCTTTCTGACCTAGTTTTATAACATACAAATGATGTTGCAGTTTGTATGCAAAACCCTCGGAATGCACAGCAAATACATGACTTTTTGGCAGTATTCGGTATCATTCAGTAGCATAATGTATGGAAGTTAGAGCATAACATGGCCTTGCCATAACATTGGTGAGTTCTGCGGCAGAATCGGCCCATAAATCGCATCCAGATTTCGTAAAATGTAATATCCTAATATTTCGTAAAATGCAACTGCCTAAACTACTAGGGTCATACTAGTAGTTACAAAACCAAAATTCACAAATATTAAAAATGTAGAACTACTGTAAGTACAATAGAAATCAACCACTAAATTTAAACTTAAAGAATAATGATTAATTTTGTTATTTCGTATTAATTAAATTTCGCTGCTAATAAAAGAATCTGTTAAGAATAAATTCAAACCAGTTATTAGTATGCATTAATTTTAATATTAATTTACATTAATAAACAAAAATTTCAGACAATGATGAGTTCTTCCAAGAACTACTCCAATTAATGCAAATATATTCAGATGTCTATTTTATAATGAAAATTAACTTTTCATGGAACTACCTCAGTGAAACGAAAAAGTTTTAATTATTTCACTCTCAAAAGATGGACTAAAACATGTTACAAGAACTCTAGTGCACAAGAAATTTAATTTCTGCCAAGAAGTAGACGTGAAGTAGTGAATTAAATATCTCAGCAAGTTTTTCTTATCATTTTTATGGTAATGAACTTATATAATATAAAAATTATGAAAATAATGTTTATTAAAAGATTCACGTTCCACTTGTAGAGCAATAGTGTATAATGAAATTAATTATTTTTTGTTGTGATTTTTGGTACATGTTTAATCACAAATCCTAATTTCCTAATCTTTTTAATTAGTTACAAAATTTATTGTCTTAATCAATACCGAGTTTAACTTTCCAGACTGAAAGAAAGATAATATTTACGCAATCCGTTATTGAAAGAAGCTTTCAATAACTTCTAGTCAAATTTAATACAATGCCTAATTATTATATCAAGTTTCATCAGATAGGGTAAAGCGGGGCTTAAAGTTCCACAGGTAAAAAGAGTCACCAGCAATATCTCAAAAACAAAAAGTTAGGAGTTTTTTAACAATAATATTTGAAAGTAGAGGGAAAATTAAGTCAAGCAACTTAAATCAAGCAACGTCACTACCGTTTTGCTTTAAACAACTTTTTTTGTAATTCTATTACAAGTATTTTTTAGTTGTTAGTTTTTTTCGGTTTTAGGCATTGTTGTTCAGTTTACGACACCTAAATATAATATTTAAATATACGTTAATAAATTGTTTTATAAGATGTATTGTGAATTTTAAGTTAGATTCTACAGATGTCTTTATATAATCTTTATAAAAAAATTAATTGAGTGGGGTAAAAACAACCACCAGAATCTTTGCCTTGGCGAGGTTTGACAATGGTAAATAAAAACTGAATTGAGTTGAAAAAAGCAAGCTTACAAGAAAAGAAATAAATTAAATTAATAGTTATTCCAACTTGATTATTGCTGATGATTATTTTTGACAAAATACCAGACCAAGAATATAGACAGTGTTATCTTTGTAAAAAATATGCCCATGAAATTTAAATTTTGCATTGGTTGATTATTGTATTCATTATTATGAAAAATTCCTTTAAAGTTAAAAATAAGACATTGGACCTGTTTGTCCCATGGCTGACTCATTTTACTTCGTCTATGGGGTAAAAAGGAACATATGGCAAATTTTAGAAAAATATTATGAGAACACATGTCCAATTAGGAATTAACTGGAAATTTTGCTGATACTGAGCATAGTACGATAGTTGTTTGTCTGATATCTGGAATGTTTTGAAATGTAGTTCATTTGATTTAGACAGTATAATTACTTAAAATCAAATTGGACATTAATGCTCCACCCTACTCTATTCATAAAAAAATAAGTACGCAAAAAACGGATTAAAACATTAAAAAAAATCTCTTTAAATGTTATGACGATTTCTGTAATTTACGCAGCGAGATATCACGAATAAAAATATAAACTTTAGAAGTCTTACTATGACCTGAGTTATGAGTTAAAATAGAGGTACAACTTCAACAACATTCATAATTCTCTTTGAAGAAGAATGATTGTGCTGCTCATATTTCAATATTAAGAACTTGCGATTTCAGCCACTGGTTCTGCATTTGGAATCATTATACAAGATTATAAGTCTCAAAATATGATAAAGTATAGAAACAGCCTTTCTGCGGTCATTACTACACATACATCTCATAAGTATAAGATAAAAATAGGATATAAAAAATGCATATTAAAAAATCTATTTGTGGAACTTAATAAAATTGCAAACACCATTATGATTTTAGTTTAATACTGCGTCGTAAAAGTTTGTTTATTTTTCAAATGCGACAACAATGTTATTACACAGATTTTATTTCTCGTACGAGTTTTATATAGCGTATGTAGGTAAATAGAGCAAGGATAAACATATAACGAAAACACACGACTATATAATGACAACTATATGTAATAATCTTGTTATTTTCTTAGATATTCCAGAGCTGAGTAGATGGTGCGCTTACGCAAGCGTCAACATCGAAAGGATATGCATTATACGCCCAACTACATAATAATCACAAATTGTTAATAATAAGAAAGTATAGGCTATATTAAAGGCAAGTGGTAAATTTCTGCCTTTTCTGTTTAACTACAATTATCTCGAATTTTTGCTTTCCAAATGAATTAACACACCAAACTTTTTAACAATGCTTTCATATTTTTTATGTTTTTCTAGATTCATTCCACAGCATCATTAGCAGACATTGTTATGGCATTGTCAGTCTGACCAAATTCCCTTTTTTACCAAATAGTAGTGAACCGATTCTTCCTCAAATACATTCTGAGCTTTAATCCATTTACTGAAATCAAGAATATCCAAGCGAGATGACACTGAAGACAACGGTAGAAAATCAAGAATTGGGAGACATTGATCATTTCAAATACTTGAGAAGCATCCCAACCAGAGACTTAGAGAGATCAGGGCAAGGATTGCAAGCTCCAAGCGGTATTCATTAGAAATCGAAGTCTACTGACGAGCAAACTGAGTCTTGATTTGTGAAAGACACTAATAAAGTGTTATGTCTGAAGCATACTATATATGGACTCTAAGAAAAGCTGTCAAGAACTGTCTGGAAAATTTTAAAATTGTGATGCAGGTGGCACATGGAGAAGATAAAGTGGATAAATGAAGTAGCAGATAAAGAAGTCTCGAGAAAAGTGGGCGAAAAGAAAACTCTTCTAAGACGAATATTAAAAGGAATGGAAATTGGATCGGGCCCAATCTATAGCAAGAATGACGTAATTTTTTTTTCGACAGTAAATTACAAGAAAACGGCTTGGTAGATCTTCACCTAAAATTAATCTGTATCAATCCCAACTAATGTCTTTCTAACAGTTTTTGATTTTTTTAAATCGATTCGGTAGTATGAGCTTAAATGTGGACGAAAAGTTTAACACTTTTTTCCAAATTACAAAGAAACGGCTTGGCAGATCGTCGCACTGAACTGACAAACGATAGTCCTCATCGAGATACATCAAATGGTTTTTAAATTTCTGTAATCGGTTCAGGCATTTTTGAGAAAAAAAACAATACCAATTTTTGCCAACTTTGACGAATTTTTAATGTTAAACTAATTGTCGTAGGGCCGTAATATTTTAGTATGATCTAAAAGACTATGGTAGCTACTGTCAAAAAATACTCGTAATAATAAAAATTGCCGAAAAAAATTTTTTTAACACTTTATTACAAGAAAACGGCCCGACCGATCTTTGCTAAAAAGTAATCAGCACGATTCCCAACCAATATCTTTCGAACGGTTTTTGAATTTTCATAATCGATACAGAATTGCGGGCTTAAACGTGGACGAATTTTTTTTCACTTTCCTGCTATTTATAAAGAAACGTCTCGGCCGATCGTCGCACGAAACTGACAAACGCTAGTCCTCATTGAGATATGTACATCAAATGGCTTTTAAATTTTTGAAATCGATCCAGCCGTTTTTGAGAAACACGTTGATGACACGCGCACACATACACATACTTTTTCCAAATTAAGTCTCATTCGATTCAGAATGGCTTGAAACGTCAAAAAAACATAAAATTAGCAAATCGGATTTTTTGATGAAAACATAAACTTCTCCTTCGGGAAGTTAAAAATGAAAATTTTTGCATTTCTTAACGTTTTGAAGGTTTCTGAACATTGTGGCCCATTTTGGATACAAAAGACATTCATTTCGTAATGCAGAAGTGTTGATTAGTTTTTGGCAAAGGCAAGTCCAGCCGTTTCGGAAACTACTTACTAGATACTTGTTTTTTGTCAGTTTGTTAATGCTAACTTTTAATTCAATAAGACAAATGGTCAATGCATATCAACACCGTCTAAGAGTATGCTTGATGCCCAACTGAATAATAAACATATATTTTTAATTATTATAAAGATTTAGGTAAATTACAGCTAAATGGTATAGATTCCAATAAATTCTACTTCCCTCAATGCCAATGCAACTTGAGAATGATCTTATATATTAACTTTGAAGCAAGCTTTTATAATCCTTAGGCGCTCCTTTATTCATTTCACAATACCACTTAGCAAACATATTTATTTAGGGCGTTATCAGCCTGGTCCAATAGGTATCTTTTTTGGCAAAAGATTTGCGTAATAATATTTCCCCAAATATTTTCTGAGTTTTATTCCATTTACTACTTTATTAGTACTTCATCCTCTCTACTTAACTCTTTATGTCAAGCTTTCAAAAAGTTTTGTGAGACTTTCTCTATCTACAACTTTTCGCTCTGATAAGATGTTAATAGTTTTTTCTCAGTTGTTTGGTACAAACGTAATACTTTTAATTTAATAAAACCAAAGTTAACAGTAGTATTTTAGTTTTTATCATTTAGCCGATGTACGATACATAATTTATAATAGAAACAAGTAGCAATAACAATATAAACTAGCTGTAAGTGGAATTCTGTCTTAAGGCAATTAAGGCATCGTGCCTTAAGGCAAATTGCTGGAACTTCCCGTACCAAAAATTATTATTTTTTCAAAAACGATTAACATTTTTGAAAAAAAAAATACTTTGAAAAAATAAGATTTTTGAGAAACTATAAATTTGACAAAAAATTACTTTTTTCTGAAAAAAAATTTTTTTTCAATTTTTTTTTTGCTTTTTTTTTTGAAAAAAATTTTTTCTCTATTTTGACATATTGTGGAAGATCTGAACTTTTTTTCAAAGCAATCGTACTGCTTTAACTGCATAGGGACAAAATATAAAGCGCGTAAGCCCCGCGTCAATGTCTAACGCATAAGCATTAGTACGGAACCCATAGGAATGTTAACAAAATGTATACTTATTGTTAAAATCTCTATAAAATATCTGATAATTTGATGTGCATATGTCTAATGATCATTTTTGACCGCCAAATGACTCATTTTTTTACTTTTTCCTCCATATCTCCGAAACCGCTAAACCTACCTTCATGAAAATGTTATCGATTCTTCATCTTGTCAATACAAGTGAAATGTTTTTTGAAATATTCAAATCGGACGCTCCGTTCTCTTAAAAACTGAGTTACCGTTTTCGGCACTTTTTGCCCCGTATCTTCGGAACGGCTAGACCTGCCTTTGCCAAAAACTAATCAGCACGTCTCCTCATCAATACGAATCGAATGTTTTTTGAATTATTCAAATCGGTTGACCTGTGTTCCCGAAATCGTCGACGAAAATTTGTATCCGCACATACATACACACACGTACATACATACACACACATACACACACACGCACACACACATACTTCCATTTTTTCTAAGGTATGCCAAAATGTTCAGAAACCTTTGAAACGTAAAGATATATAAAAATTTTCATTTTCGATTTTTTTGCGATTACTATAACTTACCCTACGGGAAGTTAATCAGTAATATCCATTTATTTGATTATATACGGGAAATACGGGATCGAATCATAACAGAAAAAAACAGCAAATTAATTTACTTTTAGAAATGTATTAAAAGCATTATTCTATTTAAATACTTACTCTAAACCAGGCCATAGTTGAATCATCATATAAAACTACCCATTCTTCATGCCATCTGCTCCATAACATATTTCCTGAAAGAAACAAGAAGAACCATTAGTAGTAATTATATTATTCGTTGCCACTAAATATTACAATCTTGCAATTAATTAACGAAATTAAAACGATATGATCGTCGAATTTTGGGTCAAAATGATAAATCGTTCAACAAAAATGGTATATTGATTTGGAAGACAACTATGTTGAACTAAAACATATGTTGAGCTATAACATAGTTTTGCCTCAAAACGAAACAACGTATTTGCACTCCCTTAAATTTTTTTTCTTAAAATATTTCATCAATAATTCCTTAGTATACTAACGAAGAGTTTTAATTAAAGTTTATTTGTACACCTACCACCATTAATTTTTTCAATACAACTGTTTTAATTAAATTCCGTATCCAACAATTGGCACACCGAAGTGAACTCTTATCCGACTGATCAAACAGCGATAAATATGAAATAGGTTTCTAGTAATTTTCCAATTCCGAGTGAAATTTATTTTCTCCCAAGAGCAATGAATTTACATTATCGCAACGTTCGCGCCTAGAGGCGTGTGTACCTTACTAATTAATATTTCAAGTGATTTTATCTGGGACACGATTCAATTTCGCCGGCACTCTCTATCTCAATATTATCGCAGCTCGGAAAGTGCATTTTCTCGAGAAAATCATTGCCAACATATATTTTCCTACGTGTTTGTGTTGAAATAAGGTTTAGTTTGTTGATAAAGATGTTCACAAAGAGAAAACACGCTGTGAAACTGTTTGGGTCAATTGGCAATATTGCTGCAAGGATACTTACAATAACAATATTTCTTCAAGGATTTTTTAACTTGTTACATCACTGAGCATATACTTGCATGAGAAGATGCAAATACATAGAGAAATTGACACACATGCATTTATTTTATGAACTCAAAAATATTTTATAAACTTTGAATACGATACAAATTTTATTGGATGGGACATGTCTTACAACATAGTTAGAAAATATACTATTCTTACCTCTGATCCAGAGGTTTTTTATATATGGATGAAAAATTGTCATACTGTCCGGAAACTACGATTTCTCCAAAAGTTTAAAGATATTCTGATGCATTTGATTTTGAAAGACATTTTGTTGCCACCCAGATATAAAAAAGTAGAGCAAGGAAGAAAGATCCAACATGTTTTTAAGTAATTATACTGTCTAAATCAAATGAACTATTTACGACACATAACACGTATCAAACAAACAAGTATCGTACTATATTCAGTAAAATTCACAGTTTACTCCTAATTATAGAAATGTGTCCTTTACTATTTTTCCAAAATTTGCCAATTGTTTCTTTTTACTTCATAGACGTGGTAAAATATGACAGCCAATGGAAAAACAGGTCAAATGTCCTATTTTTAATTTTGAAGAGATTTTACGCAATAATGGCTACAATATTCAACTAACACAAAATAAAAATTTTATGCAAACTTTTTTTTACAAAGATGACTCTGTATATAACTTTGATCTGGTCAGAAATAATCGCCAGCAGAGCTGGAATAACTGTTACGTTAATTTATTTCTTGTAATTCTTTTGTTTTAATCGAATTTACATTATTATTAACTATTTTTCATTGTTTACGTCTTTGTCAGGGTAAAGGTTTAGTTGGTCATCTCTACCCCACCAACATGTAGGGTATCTAGCGGTTATATAAAAACATCTGTTAAATTGAACTTAAATGTCATTAAGACATTTTATAAAATAAAAAAAAGTTTACTTAATAATTATATTACGATCTCTCAAACTAAACAACAATGTCGTCAACAAAAAATCTAACAGCAAAAGAAAATGCTTTTGTTATATATTTTCAAACATGGCAGTTTAATTCCTGGTAATGACGTTGCCTGATTTAAAGCTATAGCTGGAAACACATATTTTTCCCTCAACTTTCAAATATTGCTATTAAAAAATTTCTAACTTTACTTGTTTTGGAGATATTGGTAGAAGACCTTTTTACCCGCGGTCCTTTGAGCTTCTCTATCCTATTGTACGTAGCAAGTTGAATAAGTATTATAGTCTTGCGAGAAGTGGTTTAATTATAATAAGAAATTTACTTCTCAATAACTATAATAAGATATATACTATTATTTATTATTAGTGTTTTCTGTTGATGTGTTGGGATGATCTTGTGGTTAAAGCACAATTCCAACTTTTACGTCCATTTTAGCAGAGCATATTTATGTTTTGGCCACTTCTCACATGCCTATAATATTTTAGGAAATTAGTTTGACCAAGTTGAGTACCATATAAAGTTTCATCAACTTCCCAATCTATAAAACTAACTGTTTTTCTTATAACTCGATATTTAAGAATGTTATGAACTAAATAATGTTATGTTCAAACAGTTCTTGATATTGTTGAGTAAATAAGATTTCTGGTCTGAAGCTACGCTTAGAAATATACACAATTATATGTTGTTTTAATAAATTTAAAAAAATTAATAACTACTTTTTTAATAGTAATGTGATAAATGTGTGACAGCCACTTAAAAGATGACAATAAGTACCTATCATTCAAATGGTTTATGACAAATAAATTTAGAAAATGATGTGAATAAGAATTTGAAGCAAAAATGCCTGTAAAATTATAAACCCTTGGTTGATGAAATATATAAACAATAATTGTGCGTTGATGAATAATTAGAGCAAAATATGTAAATTTTGATTCATATATGTTTATAAGTTTATTGAATGTTTAATATTATTAGTTTTTATACGTAGTTAATATTAAGGGTTATGTATAGATACAAAGCTATCCAAGAACTCTTTATACTCGAATTTTTTCATATATTATCTTTAGTTTATAATTTGTATACTTTAAAATGTAATATTGTATTATTGCCTTGGGCTTTGAATAAATAAATAAATAAATGAATCAGATCAGGACAAGGTCAAGGATCAGAAGCGCCAATGTGGCATTCACGAAGATGAGATAATGAAGCAAACTGAGCCTTTGACTGATAAAGTTTATGTCTACAGTAAAGCTCTGTACGGATCAGAAACATGGACTCGAAGAAAAGCCGACAAGCATTACCTGGAGAGTTTTGAAATGTGATGCTGGAGATAAATGGAGAAAATGAAGTGGACAGACAAAATAACAAATGAAGAAGTGAAGAAAATTGGGCGACGAAACGACTCCACTGAGCACGATCCTCAAAAGATAAGGAAACTGGATCGGACCCGTTCTGCACAAAGAGTGTCTCCTACACGACGCCGTCGAAGGTAAAATAGAAGGACAAAAGGAATGGGAAAAAGAAGAATGCAGATGATTGACGACTTACGCGAGAAGAGGAAATACAATACATTTGCAAAAGAATATAAATGAAAACATGGAAAAAAGGTTAATACTGGTAATGGAAATGTTAGACGAGAAAGGGAAAGAAAATCATACCATGGACCTGCCTTCGGACTATCATTTATTATAATTATTATTGCAAGACACATCAGTAAATCATAACTCAGTTATATATCGAAAAGAGCAGAAAAACAAATTTTTAATTTTTTTCTTGTTTATTTAACATTACATTTTAAAAATAATTAAAAGCGTATATATACATATATTTTTTGCCTATGCGAGAACTCCGAAATTTCACGAAGTTTCTGGGTTAATTATTTATAAAAGCATGCAAATTTAATCAGGCGAACGTTGATGAAAAATAATTTATACACAGGAATATTCTATTTTGTTTTATCAAACCAAAAATCGTCACGAAATATTCAGAAAATATTCCGTTCGCTTTTATTTACGCAATAATAGTTAATATCAATAAATGAGATGGCTCGGGTTTCGTTCTTGTATATAAAACTTAATCATAATGAATCGTAATGAAATGTCTTCTAGATCAAGAAGTATATATATATATATATATATATATATATATATATATATATATATCTTCATATTATACGGTCAAATAAAACTTACTTTTATAACGTAGCAAATATCCGCCTTTGATTTGTTTTCCACCTGAAATAAGAAATGTTACTATTAAATTACTACAATCATTTTGTTGAGTAGACGTTTTACAACTTTATTAGTCTGGTATAAAATAATAACCCCTAAAATATCTGTGATGATATTATTTGCATTATGATAATAATAGTAGTTTACGTTGATTTATGATAAGTATTTCTATTGTATGAGACACTATATATTTTAATTTTATTTTACTTAGAAACTAGTACGCTTTTTTTAGAAATAAGTAAAGAACAAATTATCAGGGGTATTATTGTCGTTGTTTGTGGCTACTACTTGTCCTGATATATATTACAACTAACCTCAAACACGGGGTAAATTGTAACACCGGACTTTTTCTATGAAAAGAATAATTAGGAATAATAAAAAATAGTTATGTAATTAGTTTTAGTTCGGTACAGGAATAGTTAAAACATATATGCATCTTTATATAGTAACAATATAATAAGGGAATCTCAAGATAAATTAATTAAAGAAAGTAACAATAAGCTCCTAGCCCCTCTACTAGTCAATATCTAATTAACTTTTCGAATGCACAAGTACCCAATATTTTCATATGAAAAACAGGAAACAAGTCGTATTGGTCTGATTAATTATAATAATTGATTTACAAAATAACTAGGTGTATGTAGCATTTTGTCTTGAGGCAAATTTCGGAAATGTGATTTTTTTTTTTTTTATTTTCAATAATTATTACAACTGCTAAATTATTAACATCAAGTAATATTGATAAATAATAACATAAATTTAAATAAATAAAAGTGCAAAGGATAAAATTTACATGAAAATAATATCCGTAATATGATTTGATATAAAATATAAGCAAATAATAATAAAAATAAAATTAATAAATAATATAAATAAAATTTCTGAATGATAAAATAATACTAGAAAAATAATAAAATATAACAAAATAACAATAATAGAAATAGTAAGATAATAATAATAATAATATATAATAATAATAATAATAAAAATAATAATAATAATAATAATAATAACCAACAAGGCTAAAAAAACGAAATGTGAAAATGATTGACTTAATGAATATGATTAGAGATTTAGCATTTTAGGTACAATTTTCAACTATTTATTTATTTCAAAAATAAAATTTTTGCTTGCATTGAAATATACTTTAAACAAATAATATAATATCATATATTTTAAAATATTAGAAAATCTTAAAATATTTATAGTAATCTATTTGAAAACATGCAATATTCTTTGAACGTTTTGTTACGGTACGGAAAGTTCCAGCAATTTCCCTTAAGGCACGATGCCATACACCCCACTAGTTAACTTCCCGTAGGGTAAGTTATTGTAATGGGCCGAAAATCGGAAGTGAATACAATTTTTCGGTCACTAGAACTAGTCACTAGAACTTACCCGTATATAGATATATATATATATATATAGATTAGAGACTAAATCAATATCAGTTCCTACATTTATATAGCTATACATATAATAGATATATTAATAGATATATACCTATAGATACAGATATATATACCTAGAGATATAGATCTATATATAGCTATATAGATAGATCATTATTTGTTATTAACCTATTATATATAACGTACACCCTACATAGTCTAGACACTATAACTACAAATCAGATAAGAATGATACATATATATACCTATATATATATATCTATACATAGATATTATATATATATATATATATACATATATACCTATATTATATCTTATACATATAATATATATATAGTATATATATATATATATATATATATATCATTATTTGTTATAGTCTATTATATAAGTACACCCTACATATCTCTTTTTACCCCTTACAAACCTTACATACTACTATTTTAAACGCTATTTTTTCTCTACCGTATACTCTATTGTCTATCGCCCGCACCGGGAATCGAACCCGGGACAACCGCGTGGCAGTCCACAGCTTTGACCACTACTCTATTGGGTTCCCCACAAATAATATATTAAGAAACGCATTGTTCTTCCGCGGTACTTTTACCTATTAATTAAGTAATTAATACTACGGCGACGAACGACACGCGAAAAAAGACGTCAAATCGTAGCGCCACGGTGGTGTAGTGGTTAAGGTCGTTGCCTCCCACGCAGAGAGTCCGGGTTCGATTCCGGGAGGGTTCGGAAAAATTAGCGTTTAAGAAACATTATAGGTGTAAGATACGGAATTAATATGGGCGTATTACGTATATAGGATAGTAGGCGTATTAGGCGTATTAGGCGTACTATATAGTTAGTTAAAAGGCGTACAACATAAAAATTAAGGTTTAGGCATACGTGAATATGGTATAGATATCTTATAAGAAATACGTGTTATATGATAATCGCAAGCACAATTTTGATACGGGTACTGTATAAAGTGCATTTTATCCTTATAACAACTCTTAAATATTATTTTATTCACGGCAAATAAAAGAAGTACGTGACATACCTCAGCATTTAATTTTTGCAGCCACGAGTACAAGTTTTGCAGTTTATTAAATAATTTAAGTTCAAAATAGGTATTGTTGATCTAAGAAAATAAAAATAAATTTTGCTTAAAAATTCAATTTATATTTTTTTATCCAATATAAAAGTATTTACCAATATGCATGTGCAGGGTTGTCCCAGAACTCAACCAACATGTTCGTCTTTATGTCTGTTCGTCATGTTTTTTTTTTTAACTTTCGTAGGGTAGTTATAGTAATGGGCTGAAGATCGAA